TCTTATGGACATAATTCCGATAATCTTTTATTGAGAACATTCCTGTTGACTGTCAAGTACTTTATTGAGCCTAGTAGCTATGTTTTGCTGTTAAGTACGTTTATAGATCACCAAGGTAGATGATCTATGTTGAATGATTGGAGGCCTACTAGAGTTGGACGGGAATGATGTAATTAACAGCTAATGTCTGAATCACATTTCGCAGTCAGCACCTGACGCGGATTACTTCCTTGTCGTATCAAGGTACTATGGATGCTTCGAAGATCGTGCAACACAAAAGACGTTATTACGGAAATATATTAGTAAGAATAAGTACAGAGAAAATAGTGTGACCACTACCGCATGGCCCAGTACATGGAATACAATCAGTTGTCCTTGATTTTGATAGAATTCGATGATTTGTTCGATATTCAATGACCCAACTACCCAGTAACAGTTCACTGACTCTACACGTTATTTTGCACCGGAAAAATACTATTGAGTGGTGGATGAACGTGAGTGTTGAATTATTTAGCGTTTTTTTTCTGGCAAAATGTGTTCTCCCCATATGGTACCGCGTAGATTGTGCACAAAAATTATGTTTTGATTTAATCGTTGATTGTGAGTGACTTAACAAAACTTCATATATTGCACAGAAAAACGCAGTGGTTTGGTTTCATGTAATAAAAAAATAGTTTTTTAAATTGTTTTTTGTAGTTAGACCATAAATTTAAATTTCTGTTGTTACACAGATTGTAAGATACATTTTGAATATTTTGTGTGTTTGTGAAAATCCCTCCATGTATATACTTGCACTTTGTTCCTATTGATCCCCTTAGTTGTACGTTGTTGTCTTTTGATTACATTTGAATAGTTAATACTTGTATTTTTTATTATAGTTTTTGTTTTTCTTACCGAACTGCATCTGTGTTGTTTTACTTGACACTTGTTCTTGGCGGTAGCCATATTGATTTGCTCCTCCTTTTGTGTGTTCTATCCAGTCAGGATAGAATAACGTTCATTTGTTGTGACTGGTAATTTTCCCTCATCTTTCATCAACTCCTTTATTTATTGTAATTTAGATTTGATTGATTGAACCATTATTGATTGAATAGCGGGGTGGTAATATTTGTTTACGTAACGAGTTACATTTAAATCTATGATGAATTATAGAACCGCTATTTACCCGATTACTTGTTTTGATTTCGACGGGCAAGGGCGTGTGTCTAACGTACCTGGATGGCTATTCATTTATCCAAACCGTAGTTTGGATTCTACAAGATAAATTATACAGGTTAACGGCCATCCTCTGGTTAAAACAGATACAGTGGAAGCTCGTATAACAAAGTGACATTAGACATTAGACATTAATTGTTTAGACAGTAATTGCAAAATGACCAGATTAGCAAGCCATTTTTCTTTTCAGTTAGTTATTTAAGAAAAGGTCGATAAGAGATAGCTGATTTACAAATCAACACTTTGTAGACTTTACTGTGCAGCATGCCTCTAAGGCAATTAGGACATTGAAACACAGATACTTGAGGGCATGATGATATAACGGCTAGTATGTTAAATAATATAAGTGGCCATATGTTGTAGTGACATGTATATCCAATGAATTTTTGTAACAACAAAATAAAGACCACAATTTTTTCTTTATTTGTGACATTTTATGCGTAATAATATTTATGTTCAATATCTATTGTTTCTCTGTATAGTGGTAAAAATCGGATTGACTGTGCTAATACAAGACATATTGTGGGGTCCTTTACTTTGTCTTCATTTAAATCGGATGATGTATGTTGACGGGCTCTTCGCCTTAGTGGCCCAAGTTCTGACCCCAAGGAGATCGCATGAATGATCGTCGTCGAAATATATATGTCGCCTATCCTCGTATATAATCATCGACTTTAATCGCTTTAGTCAATAACGGAATTAAATAAGTCAAATAACGAGAATGGACTTGTGAATAACATATATTTTGTGTATAAAGAGAATGGAATAGAGAGAAGAGAAACGACGCAGAGTGGAGATGGCGGGTAAGCCAACACCCATTTAACCAAGCATTAATCAATATTTATAGTCATACAAAAATAGTTTACAGACATGTGATGAGTAATGGGATAAGAACTGTACACACACCTGCCGCGCTCATATAAAAACAGTCAAGATTGATAAGCGAATAAATAACAAGGTCAGAATGTGACTCAAGTAGAATGAATAGAATGGGCTGTCCGTAAGCTAGAATAAAGTATATGGGCTTAACATAATAACCGACACTACAGACACATTACCGCGATCATTATAAATGAGAGCTATCTGTTGTCTGTTATTCTAATTTACTGGCCACGGCTTGTGATTGAGAACTATAATACTGTTGGAGTTTTGGCCAGGTTTATTATCAAATAATACTATCGGCTATGTCTTTCTCATCACGCCAATGGTGTCACTGCATGCAGAAAAACCTTTGCTATTTAATTGAAATCAGTTGCATTTGTTATCCCAGATGCAGCTTACAAGTAACGTTTATTTCATAACAAGTGTTACCATTTTGTTACTTAATATACCGTTTCGTTGTGTCATTTGTTACTGTTCTGCTTGACTCGTAAAAAAACACTTGGGTTTGTAGGGTTAATCTTTTTTTGTATATCATCGGTAACTAGGCGTATCGTTATATCTTGAATAAACGTTTTACTAGGATCTACTACAATGTCTTCTACTTCATACATTAATTGCTTGTTATACCAATATCTAGAAAAATACACTCATTATCGCCTAGACACAGACTGGACCGACAACAGATGTTGAAAAGTATTTTCTCATCAGCATAGAGTCAGTAGTATTTAGAATAATAGCATGAGATGCAAATGGAAATTACAACATAAATGTTATTTAGGGATGGTAGATAATAAATTTTGGACTTCACCAATGTACTCCACCACAACACTAGATTTGAAATGTCAGGTAAAAAACGCCTATCTATCTATTTATTCAGACTGACTATCCCATTTATGATCTGTCAAGAATAAAAAGTGTGGAATAGTAAGGAACTATCTAACAAAAAACGCCTGTGTAGGTAAATTTCTTCGTCACTAACATACAGCTCATTCGGATGAATGAGACAAGAATAAATGTACGTTTCGAATTAAAACCATGAAGTGACTTTATATAACGAAAGAATCTTGAGGCATTTAAATATTCCTAAACTGTTGTCATGAAATTCACTCATTTTTAAGTGAATTTCGATGTATTTGTGATAAACAACGTTTGTTCATGTGATCTCTTTTGGTCAAACCGAGGCCAGAATTTCCTGTTTGTTTGCTCATAATGACCAGAACACGAAAAACATTGATGAAACAGAGCTCTTGGTAAAACAATATTCTTGTACATTTCAACCCTCACCTCTAAGCCATATCAGTGAGTGCTACAATGTAGTCCAAGTGAAGTCTTGAACGTGAATCTAAGCCCCGAAATGGTATATCATCAACTGCACCATCTAAACAGGGATATACCTCCTGATCTAGACTTGGTTCACTCTGTCATGAAGAGGGAAGCGGATTCAATATTTACAAAATCCATAAGTGTAATGTCCTCACATCCCGTAAAGAGGGGCGTGGTCGCAGAAAATTAGAAGCTGATACACATCACACCATTTTCCAAAGAAGGTGGATGCAATAAACTTTCATACTATCACAAAGTAGTATTTCTTTATATGCACTCAAAGGTTATGGGGTGACTAATTTATGGAGGCTCATGGAAATTTCTAGTGTTTATTGACTTATTCTCACTTCACTGGCGCATTTTCAGAAATTGCCATTTCTGCACAACGAACCTGTTGACTGCAATAGCTAGTTGGATCACGATCCTTGACCGTAAGTGTAGGGTAGGGTTAATTAATCACACTTGCCTAATCAATAAGCCTAACCTAGTAGGCATGCCAAAACCGATAATTTTCTCGAGTCGGGGTACATAATTTTCTTTCATGGGCTACGGAGAACCACAATTACCTTACAGGGTTCAGTACGAAAACCCCCACTCTCTACAACCCTCAGAAATGACTTTCTTTTGTAAGTATCACATGAGGTAATAATTATTTTGACAAATTTAAGCTTTGAAGGGAAGTTTGCAACCTGGATGATAAACTAGCACATCACGGGGATCTGAATTGAATCCAAATTTTTGTGGATAACACTGAATCTGTTTCATTGCTTCAAAGTGAATGAGAATCTACCTAAGACATAACCAATGTAATTTATCTAGAACTGTCACCAATTGTTGAAGATCTAGGTATCTTCGCTACTGATTATGTAAAGTCTTACAGTGACTACGACAAAAATATATTTAGGGTAAAGCTCGCAATCGCACTTTTTGAGTGGTTTTGATAGTAAAAATCTTTATTTAATTTTTTGGGATCTCATTGAGGGTATCTACACAAATATTTTCATCCTTCAATCCCAAGCGATAAGAATACGTGAGGCACAAGATCAATTTGAGGACTCAATTTCAGGCTTGTAATGAACCCAGTTAACAACTGGATCACAACCTACTGAAGTATAGGAGATTCGGAGGAGTCATTTCTATGATCTGCTGTTTCATAAACTCTTGATTATTCTCTTAAATACCTATTGAATCTCCAACATCTTTGAGTGCAAAAACCAAAGATCAGAGATGTAACATCGTAAGCGGAACTAAAAACATACATGTGGCTTCCAAAAAGTGCTTTTTGAGAAAACGACATTCTTAAGGGTTTAGGATAATATATATACCAAATAACCAATATTTCTATACCGTTTCCTTTACGCGTATGGATTCTTGTCTGAAGACATTCGCTAACTCCAGGCACGGATACTTATCAAGAGACAGTCTCTTTTATTGCTTCAACTGCCACTTTGAACAAGTTAAATATTATTATTCAGTAATTTGGAAGGTAATTTTAGACAAATGCGAAAACACCGATCAATAAACAAACAATTGACCAGTAACAAAGCTTCAAGGTAAAATTCTAAAAATGTCTGTCGTTACTTTACCAGTATATTGTTTTAATCCATCACACGAAATTTTGCTTGTGTGACCTGTAAATCCCGCAAGTCTCAATATGTGGACAGCTGAATCTGAAGTTGTACAGTTAGCGCGTAAATAAACAATCTCGTCAGTTTACCTTGATAATGTCGTCTAAGGCAAACGTAGTCTTAGAGACTTTGATTGTAGGTTTCTATTCAACATTTTCTCAGTGTTCAGATTGCTTTGGTCTATTTCAGTGTAGTAGACTGTGACACATGTCCAGCAGACAGCTTTGCGAACTCCTTAGCAGCTGACCAGTTTAGTTGTGCGAGAAAGTGGTTGCCGGTCAAGCAGCTTCATTGGACGAAGAAGAAAAGAATACTGGTAATCCATCTTTTCACTTGTAAACTGCTGTTTTTTTCGAGTTTTCCAGTGTTTGTCTGGCAGAGCTTCACTTTGTCCCGAGTTTTCAGACAGTATCCGAGGCTATAAAATAATAAAGCTGCGGATAATCGCTAGAAACTATTCTGTCTACATCTCACCGGTCAACCAAGTTGTACCTCCGATTACCTTATAAGAAAGAATCTTACATAACTATGCATTAGACATCTATTTGATCTTGTTTATAGACGGAAATAAAATATCGCGTGTATCACGTATTGTGCCAACAGGTTTGGGGAGATAAGATTCTTACTTCCCTATAAGGTTTATGTTCAACTTTATATAATTTCACCTACTTATTTTACCCATGTATGTGTATAAACATATTATGATATCTACAAATAACAAGAAGAGTTGGTCGACATATTGTGTGCTGAAAAATCCATATTGCACAAAGGAATTATTATTGCTACCATCATGATTATTATTATGTTTTATTAATATTATTTGCACAATATTACTCTTTAACTCACCCAGTAACTCGTCTCTGTTAAAAGTTCTGTCCAGTAAGAGAGGTTTCGATTCACCAAGTGGTTGATTTTTGAATTTTATCACTAAGTAGAAAACCAATGCAAGTTTCCTAAATCTATATATTCAACCCCACCTCTCCAATATATGAATTTCTATGTAAGTAGAATAACAGGTAGGTCCGGGTTTGTCTTTGGAAAGTCTTGATATTGGCTTGTGTTACATGTCTGTGACTAGTACTCAAGACTGCTATAAAGTAACATATATTTCTTCTCCATCTGTTAGTCAGAAAACATGTTTCATATGCTCATATCCGAAGGTCTTGTGACACTGGAATCCGATGTGGTTGAGGTCAGTATCGAATTAACCACCAGAGTTGATGCAGAACTAGTCGGGTGCATCTCTTCTGATAGTTATTTACATTTTCACAATATCACTTCGTTTTTGGGTAATTTTTTGTGTGGTAATATTGATATACTTTAAATAAATGGGTAAACAAACGATTGTACAAACTCTAATTTCTATGGCCTCAATTTATACTAATCACTGTGGGCCCAACTCAAAACAATGTAAAAAACGAGGTTAAACAAAGAATATTCGTTTGGTTTTTTTGACGTTTATTTGTCCTGAGGACTGAATCAAGTACACCATTATTTCTTACACTAGTGAAACATTCTTCATTTATCATTGGTCCTGAAAAATATTCTTGAAATAAAATACGAAATGATAAATTATGGTCACAACGTCAGTCATTTATTTTATAATCATGGTGCTGATGACTATTCGAACGCTCGAGAAATATGATACTCTCCAATGGGCTGTGATACTACCTGGGTGCCCGAACTGAAGCAGGTTTGGGTCTTAATAAATCCATAACAGACAAACATAAAATTCTCAGTTTCGATAAAGTTACATTTTCAAGTTGGATGGTTTAACTATAGGGCTTTCGGTTTATTTTTCGACAGATTTTAGATAAAATTGAGTCATTCAGTTTTCCTTATATATGACTCACAACTTGTTCTGTTTATCTCGAATATGATTGATTAACTTCTATCAGTTATTTTTCCTCTTATTAGGTAACCGGTGGTGCCGGTTTTGTTGGCTCTCATTTAGTTGATAAATTAATGCAAGATGGCCACGAGGTTATAGCTCTTGACAATTTTTTCACAGGAAAACGACATAATATCGAACATTGGATTGGACATAGTAATTTTGAACTTTTACATCATGATGTTACCAATCCTATATATGTGGAAGGTGATTATATTATCTGTGCTTATGTTTATAGTTGTTGCCTAATAATTTAAAACAATATTCTAAAGGTGTTTGCACCAGTTCAAGAGAATTATGTATTCAGAAAGACACCCAATCTGAAGAGATGATGAGATTCTGTTGAAATCATATAGATTATTAAAAACACGAAGTTCAGCGAAGGGATCTCTTTTCAACGAATTGGTCATCAAGCTGTACGATCGTATATATATGAAAATTTTGTTTTCGTAAAAGTACTAATTCCGTGAGGAAATGTGAACACAAATAACCAAGATGACGTAATGGGGAGATTATAATACTAGATTGCGTACTACGAATAATAACAATGGATTTAGTCACAATAATTAAAGGTCATAGGGGTGTAAAAATAAATAAGGTGATATGATGGGTATTTATGAATAAAATAATGAGAATATAAGGCATAATTATAGGGTAATGCAATAATAATAATAATAATAATAAGAAGAAAAAGAATAGGATAATAATAAAGTTGAAAATAGATCCCTTCGCTGAACTTCGTGTTTTTAATGTTTAAATAGGAATTATCTGTCAATATCAATTATTGTTTGTGCAGAAAGTATTGTATTTTTCTTTCTAAAAGTGATAGTTTACAAAAGTGTATGTTTCTTTAAGCATTGTTGAGAAATGTCGGCTTGAATAAAATACAAGCACAAAGCTTTTAGACCATCGAATCAACAGAATTCAACTCAAATTCACACATATGTGTAGTTTTAACTACAAACTTATATTAGCTGAATGGTCAGTGGTAATTTGTAAGGTGGTCTGGCCAAACGTCTAGAGCACCTGTTTACTTACTTACGCCTGTTACTCCTCGTGAAGGAACATAGGCCGCTCACCAGTATTCTCCATCCAACCCTGTCCAAAGCAATCCTTTCCAGCTCCTTCCAGTTGTTATTCATCCTTTTTATATCTGCTTCTATTTCCCGACATAATGTGTTCTTTGACCTTCCTCTTTTCCGCTTCACTTCAGGATTTCAAGTTAGGGCTTGATTAGTGATGTAGTTTGATGATTTGCGTAATGTATATCCTATCCATTCCCATTATCTTTTCCTAATTTCCTGTTCAGCTGGAATCTGGTTTGTTCTCTCTCAGAGGAGGCTGTATCTAATGGTATGCGGCCAATGGATGTTGAATATCTTGCGTAGACAACCTCTTTACTTATGGAATAAATATTACAATGAACCTTCCTAGTTTACATTTGTTTAAATTGAATGATTGTGAACACTAATTGTGTCTACTCATGAGCTATTATAAAAGACTTAGAAATTATTGCAATCATAAATATTAACGAACTTAAACCAAAAAACTTTATTGACTTGAATGTCTTCATTATCTGTCATTCTAGGAAAATAAGTGGCGAATACATTTCAATTCATGCATTTCAGATAGGATAGATTGGAGAAACAGCTGTACCATATGAAGTAGCAAAAAGCCTTTGCAATTGAAAATGAGTGGTAGATGCTGGTTATGGACAGACTTCATAAGATATATTTTTGAATAATTACAATTCGGACATATGTTAAGCACATATTTGTTGCGATATTACATATATGGTTCTAATAACACGTTATTGCAACAAAATCCAATAAATGAATGAAACTACTACGAAATTCAACGTTACCTATAATTCTTGTTACTGACATTTACCATATTTTTACTACCGACTAAATTCTGTTGAGAAGTCATGATCAGTGGAGTTTAACCATGTTGGATGTGGTCTTGAGTGCTGTTAGAGGTATGAGGGCGGTTATCACTTCCCGGTTGCCCACAATGTGGGGGGGTTCCTCTGGAGGTACCTGAAAAGGAAATTGGATTAGAGGGTGGTCTTAGTGACCTGAGAGCGTGACCGCAGTTCCCAAGGGACAACTACTTGAGGTCGGTCACATACGACCTTCTTATGGGTAATTTTTGTGTTAGCTCCGTACTTGTTGGGACCTTACCACCGGGAACGAATATCCGTGGGATAAGGCAAGGTGTGCATTTTTAGGGTTGACCTTTTCTAACCCCACCCTCCTTGTGGGAAGGCAGCATCGCTGTCATGCTGGTTGTGTGAAGGAAACGCCTTACTGCTGTCACACCTCTGTACAGTCAGCAGTACGACTTCGCCTTCGAACCTTAGGTTTGGTTGGAAGAAAGTTTGGGGCGGCCAAACAAAAACGTGGCATCAGTGCTTGAAGTCACCAACTTCTAGTCTGAGCCATGTTGCTACCAACAGACTACTTGGTTGGGGTCCGCGTGACTATCGTAACTAATGGTTGGAGACTCTTGGTGACATGACTCAGAATCGATCAGAATGGCGTCGGTGTATACACTTTCTGTCTTCTCTTAAACTAAGAGAATAAAATCGCTTCATATCTTTTTTTCTACAAACTAATTCTTTCTTCCCGTACTATATTTTCATTGCAATCTTTCTTTTATATATTACCACCATTGAATTAACTACTTTTATTAATCCGGTGTCCATCTTGTTGTGTTAATGAGGTATGGCAACTTGGACCGATGCATATATGTGCCTGGTCCTACGTTGTAGCTGACTGTTGGATGTGAGACATATGTTACCAGTGGAAATGGATGATGGACATAAAATTTCGCGAACTCATTGGAATTGGGAATGCAACTTATTATATCCCAACCCTATGGTCTGAAGTTTAAGTTCTTCTCACGAACTTTAAAAGTTATGAGTTGTAGATATTCATCGATGAGATGTATCATACTGGGATGAAACATCTATCAGGTGATTCACAATTATTTAAGGTTTTCTAAATCAAATCGGTTTGCGATGCAAAATTACAAACTCAACATCATGCTCACCTCACCTCTTCTATATTAACGTATTATTTATCAAACTTTTTTTATCTCAGGTACAAACCCATTTATGGTCATTGTTATATATTACTGAAAAGTTCCCGTAAACTAGGACTAGACAGCTTTACATTTACATAAATTTTTTTTAGCTAATCATTGAGTTAATAAACGAACTTTCATAAATAATTAAATAAAATTGTTAACAATGTCATATTGATAAAATTTATGTATCAATCCTTTTTAGTGGATGAAATTTACCACTTGGCTTCACCAGCGTCACCTCAACATTATATGCATAATCCTATACGTACTATTAAAGCAAACACATTGGGTACTTTAAATATGTTAGGTAAGTTAAACAATTGATAATTAAACGTGTATTTTTTAAAATCATTTCTTATTACTGTAATTAATGTATTTTTGGTTTTGATGGAGTTTTGTTCTCCAGTTCCCGAATTCTAACAATAGATTTAGTTGGGATTTTATCTGTATGTTTCCGTGTGGGTGGATGGGGGTGACCATCTACACGTTAATAGGGAAGTTAATCAAACTAATAAATCACTTCTTTGTGAAATATATTAAACCCCTCATGATTGTATTAAAAGAACCTAGCTTTTTTGCTACAATGGTTTTTAAACACTCAACTGATTGATGTTTAAGCGAAACTACAACGTCTAGCTGTTAGTAATGTGATGTTAAAATCAGTAAATCTCTAAAAGATGCCCGTATATTCAATGGTGGTAACAATCGACAACAAGTAGCAATCCACAAATTTGAAATTAAGAATGAATGGTAACTGAAAATGTTGGTTCACTAACTTGATAAATCTTAACCAGGACGTGAAGCATTTCTTGGATTCAAATGTTGAAAATTTTCCAAACTATAATCACTTTTTTAAGTGTAGGAAAAATCAATGCTTACTTACGCCTGTTACTCTTCGTCGAGAGGCATAGACCGCCTGCCAGTACTCTCCATCCAACTCTGTCCAAAGCAATCCTTTCCAGCTCCTTCCAGTTGTTATTCATCCTTTCCATATCTGCTTCTATTTCCCGACATAATGTGTTCTTTGACCTTTCTCTTTTCCGCTTCACTTCAGGATTTCATGTTAGGGCTTGATTAGTGATGCCGTCTGATGATTTCCGTAATGTATATCCTATCCATTTCCATCATCTTTTCCTGATTTCTCGTTCAGCTGGAATCTGGTTTGTTCTCTCTCAGAGAAGGCTGTATCTAATGGTATCCGGTCAATGGATGTTGAGTGTCTTTCATAGACAATTGTTTATAAATTCTCGTACCTTCTTGATGATGGTTGTTGTAGTTCTCCAAGTTTCAGTGCTTATATACTTATATATTTTAATTGAATACAGTCCTTAATATATCAAAAGCAGGAGAGCACAACATGAGCTTAGGTTTCAGTGTAGACATCCATACTTTATCTAGGTAAGTTTAGTGGATGAAACCGATGTTCGAGGGAAACTCGCGCCTTGGGTTTGATTGCTAGCTAGCTATAATTTAAATTTCCTATTTGAAGAAACAGTTTATGCATGAATTATGCATCAAATGAAGTTATCAAGTCAAACCTCAGTAATACTACTTACATAATACATATATCGCATGAAATTCATTTAATTATTTGTACTTTTGAAATGGTGGAGAAGATTTTTAGGTCACTTGCGTGATTTTGATGTAGTTTTGTTCTCTGAGCTGTACAACCAAACCATCCAGCTTAGAGAATAAAACTCCATGAATATTTGTACTTTTGTTGTAAACAATAAATTTTTCTAAAACTTAAAAAAAACAAAAAACAACTCATTATCTCAAGACTAACAAAATGAAAACCATTATAACAATAAACCTATATTATATTGTTAGGTTTTATAAATGCACGGTTTTATACTTTTCATTTTACCCTTGTTCATTCCTTATCTATATTGTATTCTTTATAGTTTAGATATAATTCAACAGTTTTCTTTTTCCATTGGCCAATTACACGTAAATTGAAGCAGATGTAATATTAGGTCAAAAGTATAGATAGTAGGGTTTAATATATAGTTGTACGGTGTACGGTGGCGCAACTTCGTGGATTGGTTGAAGTTAGACATTAACACCGTTGGATGCCGGATCAGTGGTCTAATGGTTAAGTGCTCGCGCGCGAAGCCAGTAGGTCCTGGGTTCGAGCCCCGCGTGGTGCGGGATCGTGGATGCGCACTGCTGAGGAGTCCCATGCTAGGGCGAAACGGCCGTCCAGTGCTTCCAGGTTTTCAATGGTGGTCTAGCTTCAACTGACTCATGATTTCAATCTGTGAAATTTCTAAAATCTCCACAAAACCCATTCTGATAATATAGTTTTTAAGTTGAAGTTCTGTTTCTGTGTCAGTGGTTCTGTTCAAGTTTATCTTTATTTTTACACAGAAAATTATATTTGTAAATTTCTGAGGAGTTGTCCTAAAATATGAACAAAACACTGACTTACTTATGCCTGTTACTCTTAATGGAGAATAGACCACCAACCAGCATTCTCCAGCCCACTCTGTCCTGGGCCTTCTTTTCTAGTTCTATCTAATTGTTGTTCATTCTTCTCATGTCTGAACAAAATAGCTACCCAGTAAATTATGTTTCTTGAATTGATGCTATTTATTTGTGTAAATTAATATGATATTCTAATAATAGTCAACATTAGATACAGTTTTATGTGGTCAATTTAAAAAATCGAACGTTATTAACAGTATTGGAAAGATAGATAACGGTATCTAGTAGTCAATTAACTTACGGATGATCTGTTATATGACATACGACTCATTGATAATGACTATGTGACTGTGTTATACATGTCAAAACCTCAGTGACAGAATACATCTCAAGGTCGTGGCAACGAAAGCCCTTTTAACTTGAATAAAAGTAAATAATTTGCTATACAACTATAATATAAGGAAAAGCCAATTAGGATAGAGTAAAAAACTCGGTTTTTGCACAAAATTTAAAAACGAATAACTTGTATTTTACATCACGTGAAAAGCAAAATAGAAAATACCTTTTTATAATGCTCAGATTGACATCATTCCCTGAAGTCATTAACTTCTGGGCTGAGCCATGTAGGGAGATGCAGACTACTTGGTTGGGGTCCGTGTGATTGTCGTAACCAGTGGTTGGAGACTCTGAGTGACGTGACTCGGAATCCATCACAATGGCTTCGGTGTATACACTCTTTGTCTTCCCTTAAACCGTGGTATTAAAATCGCTTTATATCTCTCTACGAAATAATTCTTTCTGTACTATATCCTTATACACAATCTTTCTTTAATACATTACTACCATTGAAGTGACTACCTCTATGGGTTTGGTGTTCATCTTGTTGTGCTAATGAGGTATGGCAACTTGGACTGTTTATTTATTTATTTTAACACATAGATATTGATACAAAGGGGCACCAGATATATATGCGCCACACAACTTGGACTGATGTGTGTATGTGCCTGGTCCTACATTGTAGTTGACTGACTGAATGTTCAAACTGTTTAAAATTACTAAGAAAAATTTCTTTTTGTTATTGTGGAGTGATTATAAGCGTTGAACTTGTGAGATGTTTGGTTGTGCATAGCATGTAGACCAACGGGTTTTCGTTTCGCTTTACTTTGTCTCTAAGAAATCTTTTTATTGATGTTGACTGAATAATAAGTGAAGTAGCGAACTATGATTGCTAAAATAGATGACAATTTCTATGCATCACTTCATTTCACTGTCCTGAATATATTCATAATCAAATAACTGAGATTATGTAATCATACTTTTGCAGTATTAAGATCGAAAACAAAATAAGCCTTTAAAAACTAGTCAACTTTCTAAAATCAGTAAACTATGAAAGGTTTCATGGGTGTCCTTACATTATAGTTACACCCATTTTAGAATTATCCCGTAAGTATTGTATCAATCTATTCTAATAACCCTATTATTGATTGGTGGTCCTCGTCAATCACTAACATGCTTATTAGGACAAATTGATATGATATAGCATCTTTTGTGTAATTCTCTAGTGGTCATTTTTATTTGAAGTAGGCCTTGATTGTCTTGATCTAGAAATTCAATGAAAGCTTTATTATTAAGCTGCCTAGTTTGGTGAATGTAACCTTATCAAAGTTCTTACCGTTTAAATATTATATCACTGATTTCCTGTAACGTTGTCTTGATTAATTGTTTAATGGTTCTGCAAAAGCATTTGATTACATTTATATAGTATGTTTTCGCTTTATTAGACTGGTAAAGATAAATTTTTTGTTTGAATATGACATATACTATTTTAGCAGCAAGTGTTTTCGGACATAAACTCATTCGAGATCCTGTACTACAAACCTTTCATACTAATATAAACTACGTACTTACAACGAGAATTTCAGAAGTTCTGTTGAGAAACCTTAACCAGTGCAGTTTATCTGTGTATGGCATGAGACAAGCACGGTTGATAGACCTGAATGATAGTTGCGAAATATTGCAAATTGACTGAAGTTGGACATGTAGATGATTGGGTGGAAACTCAGTTATCTGAAGGTTAGGCGATCTCCATGAGACTTGTGGGTCCTGGGTCCCACCTGTTGTGCGGTTTCGGGTGCCCACTACTGAAGAGTCCCAAATTGGCCAAAATAACCATCGACTAATGCTTGTTGATCCCAATTGTGTTTCCAATTTTAGTCAGTCCTTGATGTGAAACTACAAATCCATTTGATAAATTTACGTATTTCAAAGTACAAAAAACAAATAGAATAGGATTCTTGTTCCTATTTTTATATGCATCTCAAAGAATCCAAGACTAATGGACTCATATACAGTCAACACTGTAATCATTCATCATTTACTTCCAATATCATATGATTTCGATACTTCTAATTTTATTAAGAATAATAAAATCAAGCAAGAAATCTTAAACTTACTGCTTTTTGCCTTTCACAGTACGTTTATACTCAATTTACGCACTGAGAATAAAGTATTATTCATCAATTTCATTATTGGACTGATGGCTACAGCTTCCATTATTTTACTGGATGGCTTTTAAAACTTTTTTCTTGTTTAAATCTTACTCGTTTCTGATAGACAATCCATCATTGGTTTTAACAAGTCCTTTATGGTTAGATAATTGTAGGTACTCGTCAGTAGTCTCGAAGGAACTGGTGTCCCCTAACGGACGTGATTCAACTTCACCTAAATTCATTGTTTGTAACAAGAAGACTGAGTTATTCGGGGTACGATTGACCTTCTGTAGGACTGTGATGCCATGTTTATTTAGTCTTTTAGTGCTGATTGAATCTTGTCGATTAGCCACATTACAATTTAATGGATAGAATTCTACCAACAGTAAATGACTAGACAAACATGACATTAGTCACTCATCACTAATCAATTGTAAATCTCTTTATTCAATAAAATTTGTAGTACAATCCGACCAACCAAATCAGATTAAATGCAATTTTACTCAAACCTATAACTCAACGATCGAAAAGTCAAAGTCTTGGATACTACAATTAAGTCCATTATTTTACATTCACATTAGATTTGAAATAGTTAAGGTTTCAATTTAAATACTAATCTAGTTATATACAATGTCTAATGTTTCTTTCTATGTTTCATATTTCTTTTATTGTTCATCTATTAGAGTATACTTACTTACGCCTGTTACTCCTCGTGGAAGAGCATAGGCATATAAGTATAGTATAATGTTGTAAAATAAGTTAACAGATAAAGTTTTTTTATACAATGGATTATTGACTTATATATCATAATATCATTGTGTTTGTATTCAAAATGATTTTGTTTTTTTCTTCCTTCTTTGAAATGGTAGGATTAGCTCGTCGTACAAATGCCAAATTTTTATTCGCTTCTACTTCAGAAATTTATGGCGGTTAGTTTGAAGTAATTTTTATGAAATTGTGAAAGTATTTTTACAATGTTAATTGATCCGATCTAAGTTGTTTACATTGTGGAATATGGGATCTTTCATTCGGAAGACCCTTGAAAATTCTTTTTCCCCAGTAGCATTCATTTGCTAAATACATATATATCAGGACACTATCCTAAATGAATATTTAGAGGGAAATATAAGTCAGTCAACAGCCCAATCTTTGGTCACATGATCAACTCTGATCAAGTGCTTCCATGAGGATCATTGCTCAGGACTATCTCTACTCATTGCCTTCTCGCGGCACTACTGTTGTTTACGAAATTGAGAGGACGCAAAGCGAATGTCCGGCGCTTTAACCTGGTTAGTGGGTATGGAGAATCCAACTAGGGGATTTGGAAAACCCTGATTCTAAACTAATGGTGCACATTGGCTCCAGTATCCTGAGGGAACAAAAGGCATATGAACCAATTATTGGTCAGCGGCTACCATGGAACTGTATCTCCTTACGTTGTTCCACTGGCTTGTGGATCAGACCTTTAGTTCGAAGGCTCTGGGTGTGGCCCCTTAAGAAAACCACCTGCTTCGGTTTAGGTACCCGCGCAGTATTCCAGCCTTCACACAAATTAAATTGTTTATGTGGCGCATATCTGTTTGGTGCCTCATTGTACCAATGTTTATGTGTTTAAATAAATAAAATCAGGACTATCTATAAAACCAAAAGAGGTGGATCAAAGAATGTTCGCACATGGCTGACTATACCAATCCATCAATTTTAACCCGATCTCTATGTGTAATAAGGAAATATTCAACCTTTTATTCTACCATGGTCTCAGTACTCCCTTCTGATTGTGCAAATAATTAATGCCAATTATGATCTTATTCTTCGCTTTCTTTATATTTATAAGGTAAACAGTTATCTTTTGCATTTTTCTTTAAATTATTACTTCTTATTCCTCCCAAGACTATTACATAATTTCTGTTCAATACTTGGAAGCCTTTGATTAGTTTATTAAATAAAGCAATACCCTTCTATTTCGTTATAGACTATCACATGTAAATGTCGATACAATTGTACAGCTTAAGTAAAGGTTATCACTGAAAAACAAACTCTGAAATATTTTCATTTTGTCGAATCGTCATTGCTTTCAAGCTTATTATGTCGATCGTTTATTTTATTGAATTGAAGGTTGAGCTCATCACTTACTCCCTTCTGTTGTTTAAATCAAAACACCTTAATACTTATTTGAGAAGTAAACATGATGGTATCTGAATCACACAGTTTATCACCCATTATTAAATATGATCAATGTTGTTTTAAGTGTAATGCCTGACTATTTCTTTTTTAAAAAAAACTCGTATGCCAATAGAATATGATCAATTTGATAATATAAGGGAATAAATAAATTTCAATAGTTGTGATCATAAGTCAATTGAAGCTAGATCACCATGGAAAACCTGGAAGCACTGAACAGCCGTTTCGTTCTATTGTGGGACTTCTCAGCAGTGTGCATCCACGATCCCGCCTCGCGAGATTCGAACCCAGGGCCTACCAGACTCTCACGCGTGCGCTTAACCACTAGACCACTGCACCAGCCGGCATCCAACTATGTTAATGTCTAACTTCAAGTAATCCACGAAATTGAGCGACACATCCACTATTGCCATCAGTGAGTTACTATCTCACAACAGACCAGGTTAAACTCCACTAGTCACTGCTTCTCACTAGAACTTGAGGAAATACCTCTTGAAACCAAACCAGTCTTTAGTGAGCATATGTTGATTAGTCAGTCAGTCAGTCAGCTACAACGTAGGACCAGGCACATATGTGCATCGGTCCAGGTTGCCATACCTCATTAGCACAGCAAGATGAACAGCGGATTCATAGGAGTGGTTAGGTCAAAGGTTGCAATAAGGATATAGTATAGGAAGAAAGAATTAGTTCGTAGACAGAAAGAATGAAGTGATTTTAGTCTCTTAGTTTAAGGGAAGACAGGGAGTGTATACACCGACGCCATTGTGATCGATTCTGAGCCATGTCACCAAGAGTCTCCAACCATTAGTTACGAAAGTCACGCGGACCCCAACCAATTAGTCTGTTGGTAGCAACATTGCTCAGACTAGAAGTTAGTGACTTCAGGCACTGATGCCACGTTTTGGTTTGGCCGCCCCTAACTTTCTTCCAACCATCCCCTACCCCTGTTAGCATTGCACGTCGTGGTAATCGGTGTTCAGGCATACGTAATACGTGGCCCAACCATCTCAGTCGATGAAGATTCATAACCTCATCAACTGATTTACCATCATTCCCTAATACCCTGCGTCTAACCTCACTATTACTTACCCGGTGATCCCAGCAGATGCCAGCAATATTTCTAAGGCATCTGTGGTCAAATACTAGTAACTTACGGGTGTCTTCTACTCTTAAGGGCCATGTTTCGCTGCCGTAAAGTAAAACAGAACGAACTGCCGCGCAGTATACTCGTCCTTTTAATGATAGACGGATATCTCGCCTTCGCCAAAGGTGACGTAAGTTGGCAAAAGCCAAACGAGCTTTTCGAATCCGTGCTGAGATTTCGTCAGACACCAACCCATTAGGGCTGATCAGACTTCCAAGATAAGTGAATGTTGATTAGTATCAGAAAACTTTTCATTATATAACACCTTAGTACAACATTAATGCGTAAAACATCGACTTTGTATGATCGATTTACATAAAGTGATTGGTTGTTTATTTAACTTGTCAATGGTTGTTTTTTTATTATTTTTTTTAAGAAGATAGTCTACACATACAAATAGTTGTTATGTAACATTAAACAATTAACAGATTAGCAATTAATTCAAATAACCCACCCATAGTGTCATTGAATAAGAAAAAGAGAATTCAACAATCAAAACTTTCTTTTCAATGAAATCATTTCCTTCAACTGTACATTCATATTTATAGTTATATGGAAGATACATAAGTCTGTAGAAGGATAGAAAAGATTCGAGACTCTTATTATCAAATGCGGTTACACAATAATCAAGGGTTAAGAAAAGAATATAAGGATGAAAATAATTTACGGGTCAGATAATTGTTCAATTGACAGATATGAAGAAAAAACGATGAACATAAAGGTCATAATGATAATTGATTACATTCACTTAGTATTGTTTGGCTTGTATCTTCCCATTGAGGTTTAAGACTGCAATTGATCAGTCTGTTATTAGCATATGTGAATTTAAATTCACCCCATTGCACATGCAAAAGTGGCTATCAGGACTCAGTAGCTGAATGGATAACGCGATGGCGTTTGAAGCGAATGGTACTGGGTTCGAGTCACAGAGTGAACATCAACTATGAGATGCAGGTACATCCAGCTGACGAGTCCCAAATAGGACGAAACGCGTGTCCTGGATTCCACTGCTAGCCACTATCCATCATTGCTTATAATTGATTACGGTTAAAAATTAAGAAACACTTATTTAAGGAATCAATAATAATAATAAAACAAAAAAGGAAGAAAAAACCGAAACGTTACTAATAAAGGGAATTAGGGCTAAGGAAGGATAAAAGGTTGGACAAATCGTTTTTGCACGTAAGGTTCGAGCTTGAGTTCGTGGATTACCAATACCCTCAGAAGTACATAAAAGATTGATTCGACACCCCTTCTATCTAATTATTTGACTCTGTAGATTATTTTAAAAGAGGAATCCTTTGGAGCGATGTGTCCACAATTAATTAAATGCTCCTGTATAGAATTAGTAGTTGTTTTACATTCACCTTTTAAAAGCCAAACCGGATAGTGTTCTGAGATGCGTTTGGAAAGTGATCGCTTTGTGCGGCCTATGTAACAATTACTCCTTATTTAAAGAAAATGACTTTAAAGTAACTATAGAAACCTAGTGATTCATTAAGAAAAAAAAAAGAAAGACGTCTTTTCAGCGAAGAAAAGTTTCTCCTCAACAATACCATTTTCCTATGATGTACAATTGCATTTATAAGGAATTTTTTACATCTAGTAGTCTATGATAAAATAGAGGAGTGTTATACAATTTTAATAGTTGAGATTATGAGTCAATTGAATCTCGCGAGGCGGGATCGTGGATGCACACTGCTGAGGAGTCTGACAATAGAACTCAATGGCCGTCCAGTGCTTCCAGGTTTTTCATGGTGATCTAGCTTCAATTGACTCATTATCTCAACTATTAAATTTACCATGATATCCACAAAACCCCTTCTGATACTAATTTTGTTATATAATTATCAAGGATGGTCAAACTTACTTAAGTTTCAAATGTAAAAGTCTATGAAGATGAAGTGGTTTTGCACAATTTAATTAAGTAATCAAAGATTTCAAGTAATAAATATGATGGTCTGTAAATAGAAAGGCGGTACTTCAATGTAATTAAAGTTATCGTAAGTTTTCAAGTGTTGAATAGAATAGGTGTTTAATCGTTTAGCAAAGTAACCAAAACTTTAAAACAATTAGTCCCTTTGATAAATTTCGCTAATGATATTAGAAGACGAAGATTATCAGAACTATGTGATATATTAGCGCAATAGATTTCGAACAATCTGGTCACACATATACTTGTTAAGAGCATTTATATATAAAAATGAAAGGTCAACTAGACAGGAAACGGGGTAAGAGGAGATAAGGATAAGGATAAGAGTAATAATAATAATAATAATAATAATAATAATATATACGAATATTCGTCAAGATTAGAACGAATAGTTTGACAGTAATTGAGCGCCGAGTATAGAGAAGTCATTATATGTGAAAATTATATTTGAAATATTCTCAGCGATTGAAATTTAACTAATTCCAACGTTTCGTCCAGCTAACTTGTCTGGACTTCTTCAGGGTAATAATCAAAATCAAAATTTTTGATAATTTTGATTTTGATTATTACCCTGAAGAAGTCCAGACAAGTTAGCTGGACGAAACGTTGGAATTAGTTAAATTTCAATCGCTGAGAATATTTCAAATATAATTTTCACATATAATGAATAATAATAATAATAATACTAATAATAATAATAATGTGAACACAATTCGAAACCCAATCACTCTGGATAATAAGTCAATATTACCAGGGTAGGTTTAAGGTAAGGTCACATCCCACTGTGTTTACCAATTTAAATGTGTGTGTGGTCACACATACATAGGGAGGAGTAATCGTGATCTCAACATTAGAGTGAGTGAACATGTACCCAAATGGCTTCAGAAACAAATACAATCAAGTGACCCAATAAGAGCAGAGGATAAACATCCATCGTCCTCTATTGCTAAACATATAGAGACAGGTCACGAGATTGATCTACATTCAGCTTTCGTAGTGTTGTATAAAAGTGTAAAAGGGCGTTTATTGAAGCCTTAGCCATACGAAAATTCAAACCCCCTTTGTGTGTTCAAAAACTGTTTGTTCTTACCTTAAACCTACCCTAGTAATATTGACTTAATATCCAGAGTGATTAGGTTTCAAATTGTGTTCACATTATTATTATTATTATTATTATTATTATTATTATTATTATTATTATTATTATTACTCTTATCCTTATCCTTATCTCCTCTTACCCCGTTTCCTGTCTAGTTGACCTTTTATTTTTATATATAAATGCTCTTAACAAGTATATGTGTGACCATATTGTTCGAAATCTATTGCGCTAATATATCATCACGTAGTTCTGATAATCTTCGTCTTCTAATATCATTATCGAAATCAACCAAAAATTATCAAGAAATATGGTCATGGAAGCCTATTTTATCATTGAAGAAGAATGATAGGAATTCAGTAGAGAAAATTCTTTCTTCAATCTACGTGCTCATTTGGGGCAGATTATATTTGTTCCACAAAGCGAGCTTTTCGAAATACTTCTCCAAATGTTACCTTACCTGACTTTCTATAGGAATACAAATGTCAGTCGAAAGCTCAATCTTGGAACATCTAGTTAATTCTGGCCATTCCTTTTCACCACAATCCCCTTTCAAAATTATACATCAGAATTATACAATCAGAAGAGTCCGCTCAAAAAGAATGCAAATAAAAAACTTATGTATAACAGAGGCTATTATTAACCACTAATTCAAGACTAACGTTTGCTCACAAAAAGAGTATGTCCAATCCCTCATTGTTCCATGGTCTTAACCTTCCTTTGTATCTTCCATAATCTATGGTTTTTTTTTAAAAAAAAAAGACTTTCTACTCCTTTTCAATTTGAATAATGCTCCATAAAGGGAACCAATTACATGAAATTTCTAAAGAGTCGCCTCCTTTCCAATCATTTTCACACCTATTAATTAGCCATTATTATAACTTTTAATTATTTTGTTCTTAATAGCTATCAAGTGAAGAATCATCTTCACTTAAGCACTTCTCACTCGGCAATTTTTACATAACATCCTATCTGATTTTCGTAGAAGTTTGTTCTGATAATGTTGTTCAGAAGAACAATGAAAGCTCCACGACCAAACCATCCATCTACCTGAGCTACAAATCTTCTCCACTACCACATCAAGTTTTCTTTTTGATAATTATTCAACACTATTCAATTTTACTATAGACTACTATCTTTATAAAGTAAACTCATCATGAAGACGATCATACAGCTTAAGTAAATGAATTAGTAGAAAAGAAAGTTTTCTTCACTAAATTACATTCATGTAATAGTTTTGGAAGTAATAAGAATAAATAATAGGATAAATGCAAAAGCCTACTGTCTTCTGTGTTACCATTTACAATACTAGGAGAGGTGTTAAGACCATGGAGGAATAAGAGAGATTGAACACTACTCTCTTCTTCACAGAGATCGGGTTTGAAATAACGAACTACTGTTAGCTTTGTACAATTTTTTTTTGCATTTGTAAAATTGAATAAAGAAAGAATAAATATCTTAGCAGAATAACATGAATTCATTTATTTCGTGAATCTTCGTCAGCTGCTTACAACTGAAAACCATAGGAATAATAAGTAAAATGAAAGTGTAAATGCTTTACATCGGAAAAGTCTTGAATTAATTGAGTTAACATACTGAGATAGAATGTAGTATGGGAATTTTGTTCCAAACCGGAGATAAATACTTAACACTAGTTGAACAAAGCCCAGATATTAGCAATTACAATCATAGTTATAAGAAAAATAATTTCAAGTGTAAGTTTATTCCCCATCCAAACTTTCTTTGATCCAGTTCTTTTAACTTTATAGACGACCTTGAATGACGATTCTCATGACGATGTGTAGCTAGAGGTGGTCATGTGTTAAGGGATTGAGCTGTTTCAGCCGAGCACAATCCTGCATAGCTATTTAGAGAGAAAGAATTCCCAGAATATCAAAGTTGGTTTTTTGTACTGATTAGGTAATTTCGTATGGAGCTCCTTGGAAGATCTTACAAACAACCTTGACTGTGGCCTGAACCTTATAAAGTACTCTCGATATTTCAGATAAAGTTTACATCAGTATATTTTTCTTGTAATTAAGCTTTCATACCATGTCATATTCACTATATAGTTGTAAAAGAGATATGATTATGCATTTTAAATTTCATACAAACTGGTGCAAGTTATGTATTGTCGGATTTTGATTTTCTCACAAAGTAGTATTATCTTTCATACTATAAATTACACACTCAATATACTCGCTTATGTAAGCGTATTAGTATTCCACTCTCATTGTGTTTTTTTTTCCACAATCAAAGATCCTGAAGTCCACCCTCAACCTGAATCCTATTGGGGTAATGTAAATCCAGTTGGTCCAAGAGCTTGTTATGATGAAAGTAAACGACTTGGTGAAACAATGACTTATGCTTACTTTAGACATGTAAGTTTAATTTTTATATGTAATTCTGTACAGTCCAATATGATGAATATCAGTAATTCATCATTATATATGGAGCAATTGTAAGGAGTTAGGCGGTCGAGTATACATTATTTGTAAAGTTTTGTCGCTGAAACTTTTTTACTGAGATATAATTTGATTTTTAAATTTCTATCAAATTCAAACCATCTCCTGCTGCTCAGCAGGTGTACAGAACAAGCTGTGAAACGCATATGGAAAAATCAACGTCGAGGTGCACAGAACAAGCTTTGAGACACATATGGAGAAATTCAAACACTTCACTTCTATCTGAAGTTTGTGCTGATGATGTCGTTCAGAAGAACGATGAAAGCTCCACGACCAAACCATCCAGCTCAGAGAACAAAACTCCACCAAAAACTGTCTGATTGAAGTCGGTGCAGTATAAATGATCAATGATTGGAGACGTTGGGTGACCTAGCTCCAAATAAGTCGCAGTGGAACTGGTGAATTTATTCTCTATCTTCACCTAAATATTGTGCTTCAATATAATTTCATTTTTTATTCCCTTCTATATCATTCACTCTTTTAAAATCCGATTCTCTGTGTTTAGAATTTGTTACGTGTATGTTAGTCACATCCGAGTTATGCTTCAATCACCATGTAATTCGTATCTTGATGTTGTAAGAAATAGATCAAACACTATTGTTCTTGGGTCATGATACATCACTTAACGACTGAAGTATTTCAAATATCTATTCACTGCTTGAGTTTGATAATTGATTTTAAAGAGTAAAGAGATGGTGAACAGATATCTGTTGGTTTGAATGTTGTCTTTGTCTTAATTTTTCTTCAGGCTATAAAATAATTTTCATATCGGTAGTAGGAACTTTCAAGTGAGTAACTTATTACGGGGTAGGATTCAATAAAGGAATTTTTAGGTTGTTAAGTTGGGTGAATCCAATAGTGATCAGTAAATAAAAGCAGCAATGATACGACGTGGTCGGGCGATGGCTGCTCACCAGAACAAATTATTTACGTAACCTTCTAACTTTACAGATATCAGGAGATGAGGTAGCTGCTCAGCAGAAAATGATTTTTGTGTTATAAGACAACAAGTTTATATACAAAATATTAACAGGGAACTAAACATGGTTTATTGTCGTAGACGATCAGAGGAATTCAATTTTATAGATCATGCACCCTTCAACCAATATATATAGTTTTTATCTTTAAGATTAAACTGATTTGGTTTAACTAATTCTTTCTCTTTGTATGGTTAAACATTTCTTTCCATCTCAAGTTACCAGTGAAAAGGTAGTTATTTTTGATAATATAATCTAAGGATAAGGTTTACTGTAGTAAACATGAATAAATTGGTGATCATACAACATAACTGAGTAGCCAAGTTTAGGCTTGTGGACGTGACTGCAAGTTACACCTGTTGTTATTCGAATAAACGTACTGCATACATTTTTAAAATCGTGACAGGTAGAGAGGTTTGTTTACTCTTATTGTGGCGTGCGCTGTTTATACGGACAGATATAAATAGTATTTAGCAGCCATTCGAAGTGGAATACTTACTAGCAGAAGATCGAAGAGAAGAGAACAGGAAGGCAAACGAAGAATAATCGAAATAACAACAGGATTGGAAGAATGATGGAGTATGTCAAGGACAACTTTAAGAAGATATACAAATGATGTATTTAATGTATGATTTTCATATTTTACGAAGTCACTGTATGATTTTGCAGAAAATAATAAATTGATTTACCATACCTGAGTCTTCATTCACTAAACTATCACACATTCAACTAAATCATTTAATCATAAATTTTGGTAACGGTAAATGATCTTATATTGATTTTAATTTAGTAGTTGAGATCATGGGTCAATTGATGCTAGACCACCATAGAAAACCTGGAAGCACTGGACGGGCGTTTTCTCCTATTGTGGGACTCCTCAGTAGTGCGCATCCACGAGGTTAAGCGTTCGGGCGCGCGAGACTGATAGATACTGGGTTCGAATATCTTGAGGTGGGATCGTGAGATGTACACTGCTGAGGAGTCCCACAATAGGACGAGACGGTCATCAACTATTGAATTAATATTGATAGTATTTTACTAATCTAATTGTTAAACTTACAAACAGTTTATTTGTTATTCAATTGAATTATGTTTGTAATTTTATAACTTTCTATTATTAATATAGCTTAATCTTCCTGTTAGAGTTGCTCGTATATTCAATACATATGGACCAAGAATGCAAGTTAATGATGGTCGAGTGGTAACTAATTTCATTGCACAAGCATTAAACAATGAATCGATTACGGTAATTAATCTATGTATTTATTATATATTATATATTATCACTTGAAAGGTCATTTAACTAAAATCTATGTGGTATTTATTTGTATTTTTTTTTTGTATATGCATTAGACAGACATGATGACCAGTACACCATAGTAACGACTAAATGTTTATTTGGAATTTCAGGATAACCTTAGAGTTTAAAAAGATCTGGTATATCTGTAAATAAATAATAAACGGAAAATAAGCCTAATGAATGTGTGTGTGTGTGAGTGAGAGAGAGAGAGAGAGTGAGAAAGATAATTAATTTACTAATAAAAAATCGATTAGATAACATGATAAACTAACTAAAGAATGGAAAGGTAAATGTTATATCTAGGTCTTAGATACTTGCTATACCGCGTACAATTTTATCTTGAGCATTTGGACGTTTAAATCTTCCAAATCATAAGTTAGAAGACAGGAGACTAGTGAGAAGGAATCTTATTCCATTAAGTGTCAAATATGGTACAGAACACTCAGGTATTTATAGTTTTTAGTAAAAACGAAATTATCGTTACAGTTATCCAGTCTATGTGTAGTGGTTTTTCACAGTTGTCCAATCGGGAAACTATACGTTGAGATTCTGGAATGTTCTTTCAAACGATGACTGAATAGAATGTCTTCGGCTCTTTCAGAGCTCCCGTGAGTTCACCAGAAGCCGCTCCCCACAGTAAACTATGTCATAAGTGACATATTGAAAAAGGTACGGTAGGATATTCTTCCTAAATGGACTAAATTTTTATTAAATTTATGTTTTCTGATCTGGTGTTTTAGTCGTGAAGCTTTAGTTATCTTTTTAAACAATTCCGCCGTCATCACAAACTTCTGATGGAAGTGGGTTCTGGAATCCTTTCTGCAAGGGACTAGCGTCTTGTCCTGTTAACTATGAAACAGATTAATTATTAATAATACTTGTCCTATCATTGTCTTCATATTCATTTACATTACCATACCCTTTACCCTCTGAACAGTGAAAATATGCAGAGAATAAATAAAATTGTGTTGAACTGTTGTACCCCATTCATTAAAAAAACTAGACAAATAAATTAAATCACAAGTGGTGGTTGGAGGCTGTCGACAGGACACCCTGGACCTAAGTTTTGTGCTATATGGCACTTGCCAGCAAGGTGTACCTGTAATCACAATATACCCAGAATAATGAACTGCATCCAATAATGTACATGTCTAATCATCATCAATTGCCTAATGTAAGTAGCTGTCTCAGACCCAACATGGTTGGACCCCACTGGTCGCGGCACAGTGGTCTAACAGTTCAACGCTCGCGCGCGAGATCTAAGATCTTGGTTTCGATTCGCGTATGCGGGGTCGTGGATACATACTGCTGAGGAGTCCCGTCTCAAGATGAAGTGACTATCCAGTGCTTCCAGGTTAGGGTTAGGGTGTGATACACTTATCCACCTCAGGCAATGGATGATGGTTGCGCAATATCGTGAGTTGATTTAAGTTAGACATGTACATTATTAGATCCGCTTTAGTATTCTAGATTTATTGTGATTTAATAGAGTTATAAATGAAGTAAAACAATTCAATACAATTGTATTTTGGTCTGCATGTTTTTACTGCTGGAAGGTTAAAGAGAAATAGTTTTTTTATTAAGTAGCTTGTTGCATTCACTTCTAGTTTGCGAGGCTTAGAGCCATGGCGGAATACATTTGGCCTATATTAATGGTATTCAGTATTGTTTTCGCAATATCATTTATGAATAGACGCTCAAAAATGAGTTTTCACGTTGTTTTCTCCGTGTCGATTTAAAGGCACAATTAATCACGATATTCAAATGGAACTAATTATCTGATAAATGCATAGCAATTTAAATCAATACTTCAAGTATATGGAGTAGTGATTGAATTGGATAAGTTTCATGATGGGAAAACTTTTATCATTAAAATGTTTGCTTTTAAAGTCAAGTTAAGAATTTTAGCCAGCCTTTTCATATGTGAAATTCAGTAAATCACAATTCAAATATCATCCAAGATGAAAATATCAAATCAGTGCTACAAACAAATTAGTTTTTAATTATAAAACTATTCATAGTTCCAATCATCTCCTTGATAATTCGAGATTATCACCACTGATAGTTACATAGAAAAAAACACTCTTTTCATGAGGAAACAATTTATATTGATGTCGTGATAAAAAATCTCAGTATTCTTTTATATGGTGCCCCTCCTGAAGTTAAATCAGTATTCGTACTTGAACAACTTTTCCTGACCTAGAAAATTTCCGGAATATCATTTCAACTACTTATTAACAGTAACTAGTAATAAAAAAACTAAGAATTTTTTGATTGAGATCATGAACCGATTGATGTTAGACCACTATTGAAAACCTGGAAGCACTGGACGGCCGTTTCGTCCTATTGTGGGACTCCTCAACAGTGCGCATCCATGATCTCGCTCGCGGGATTCGGGCCTTCAGTCTTGCGCGCGAACGCTTAACCTACTGGACCACTGAGCCGGCCGGCATCCAATGGTGTTAATGTTTAACCTCAACCAATCCACGAAATTGCGCGACCATCTTCCATTATACTGAGGTAGACACCTGTTTCTACCCGACACGGATTAGGTAGGGGGAATGTAGATGAAACATGTATTTCCTATCAATAATTTGATACTATCGCCCCCAAATGCCCTGGTACGGCCGAGAGTGGGGAGAGTCCGCTCTCCCTCTCGAAATGCTCTCACACGGCCACGCGTATATAGCCTCTGCCAGGGAAGTCCTACTCACTGCCTTCTCGTGGCGGGGATGTTGTTTACGAAAATGAGAGGACGAAAAGCGAATGTTCGGCACTTTAACCGGATCACAAACCAATGGTGCACATGGGCTCCAGTATCCTGCGGGAACAAATGGCGTATGAACCAATTGTTGGTCACCGGCTTCCATGGGACTGCATCTCCTTACGATGCTCCACTGCCTTGTGGGTCAGACCTTCAGGTCGAAGGCTCGGGGTGTGGCCTCCTAAGGAAACCACCTAGTTCGGTTTGGGCACCCGGGCAGTATCGCAGGCCTCACACATATCGAATGAGATTTGTGTGGCGCATATGTATTTGGTGCCTCTTTGTACCATTATGTATGTGTTGAAATAAATAAATAAAATTTGATACTATCAATCTTAACTATATCAAGTGTTCTTATTGTCAAAGGAATATGTGTATGCTATAAAAGTGCGTTTTATTGCTCTCCTCCTCCATGTAGGTATATGGGTTAGGGGAACAAACCAGATCTTTTCAGTATATCAGCGATCTTGTGAATGGTCTTGTAGCTTTAATGGAATCCAATTATACAATGCCTGTTAATTTGGGAAATCCTGTCGAGTTTACAGTGAATGAATTAGCAATCATGGTCAAGAATTTTACAGGTAAGTCCCTTTAAACTAAGGTTTCTTTTTATTTAGTAACCAATCAGATTTGAAATAGGGAGTTTTCGATTTTGGCGCGAAATCCACTCACTTATATGGTTAAATACCATTTAGGTATCTAGCTGATGCCAGTTCATGATGAAAATTCCAACTTTAATTCCTAACCCTAATTTCCAACTCTAAATTTCGATTCCGATTTCTCACACTAATTTGTGACCTTCTTTAAACCCTAGTAGATTGGTGGGCTTGCTGAAGATCACTTTGTCGTTGCTCAAAGGTCGCCCATAAATTATGGTTCCAATTTGTTACATTAATTTTATAGCTCACCATAATGGTTTTTCATTTTTCAAATGAAACCCCACATAATCACATCTTTCTACGGTATATGGAACAGTGTGTTTCCAGCCTTGTACACTCTGCAACTATACATCGAGATGGATAAATACGCCGAAACTAATCTCTAATTTTTTTGCTAATTACCTCTACTACTGAGATAACTAAGTGAGGTGTCCGGAATTTTCTCAATTATTATGATGCCATGGGAATTATTGAATCCGGTGATTTTACATCATGCTATGATTCCAGTTGGAGGATCGTTGAGAGCTAACAAGCATTTAATGGCTGTTTCGTCCCAGTATAGGACTCATCAGTGTTGTCTACCTACAACCTCACCACAAACTCAGAATTGACTTTTGATAATGAAGCAATTAAAGGTTTGTGGTCTTTGAATGAACTAATGATTCCTTTGTACTTGTCGAATGCTTGATTTCGAATTCTAAATGCAGTACATTCGTTCGTGCTTATCGAGTACTTCTTGATCCAATTGCGCTATTTCTGGGATTCTTAGTTCATACTATAATTCAAATACTCCTAATCATCACAAGGTTTCATTCACAGAGAATATATCAGTTCAATTTGTTACAGTCCCCATAATTACGACGAGATGTCAGTAGGAGTAAACGTCAAAAGTTTTTAAATGTAGAAAGAAATCTAGTAGCTTTAATCAATCAATTGTCTATGCTAATCAGTATCTTATGTCAGAATAAACGATAGCCGAGCATATGCTCATTGTATGATCCGATTACCCTTATTCATGCAGGTTATCTATTCCATCAATCAACTTATCATCTCTGCTTAGTACTCTAATGTGTGTATGGTGAATCTAACTTATTTTTAAGGTACAATCTGCAAGTGTAATCTAGTGGATATTACTCAATATGTTCAAGTCATGATTTCTCGTTATTCATCAAGTCGCAACGTTACGTTTGAAAAAAATAATAATAGCAAATGAATAGGTACTTGTATTTGCGATCACTCTCACGAGATTGCTACGAGATTATTTTAGACGTTTGGAATAGGTGTAGTACATAAACCATATATAGTTTTAGTCAATGAAGCTTGCTTTTCACTCCAGTAAATGGTTTAGGCACTCATATAGAAAGCTTGCACGTTAGTCTCAGAATTGGCCATCATACAAAATAACCATTTGTTTTTTTCTGTTTTCTAACTAACAGATAGCAAAAGTGATATAATTTATCAACCGTTACCAATTGATGATCCTCAGCGAAGACAACCTGATATAAGTACAGCTATAAAACAGTTAAATTGGAAACCGACAGTAACTTTACAAGAAGGATTAAGTAAAACTATAATTTATTTCAAAGATATTTTAAAACCATCATCTGAATGTGACGTGCATTAGATAACTTCAAGGATCAAGATTTACATAATGTTGTTACACTGTACACCATTATGAATGTTGATTTCTTTTCAAATTAAAATTTAGCTTATTATGTATCTTGATGTAAAGTGTCTCTTTTTTTTCTTGTATATTAATTGATAAAAATATAAATATTATGATTGGATGGTATTTGTCTTATGCGCACATATTCTCGATCTACACATTATGTGAAGGTTTAGTGTTAGGGGCGGCCAAACCAAAACGTAGCATCAGTGCTTGAAGTCACTAACTTCTAGTCTGAGCCATGTTGGGAGATGCAGACTACTTGGTTGGGGTCCGCGTGACTATCGTAACCAATGGTTGAAGACTCTTGGTGACATGGCTCAGAATCGATCAGAATGGCGTCAGTGTATACACTCTCACTCTTTTCCCTTAAACTATGAGAATAAAATTACTTTACACCTTTCTTTCTACCTGTATTATATCCTTATATGAAATCCTTCTTTTATATATTACTTACTTACTTACTTACGCCTGTTACTCCCAATGGAGCATAGGCCGCTGACCAGCATTCTCCAACCCACTCTGTCCTAGGCCTTCTTTTCTAGTTCCATCCAATTCTTGTTCATTTTTCTCATGTCTATCTCCATTCCCGACGTAATGTGTTCTTTGGTTTTCCTCTTTTCCTTTGGCCTTGAGGATTCCATGTGAGGGCTTGTCTTGTAACGCAGTTGGGTGCTTTCCTCAATGTGTGTCCTATCCACTTCCAGCGCTTCTTCCTGATTTCTTCCTCCACTGGGATCTGGTTTGTTCTCTCCCACAGTACGTTGTTGCTAATAGTGTCCGGCCAATGGATCTGAAGTATTTTGCGTAGACAATTGTTAATAAACACCTGTACTTTCTGGAGTCCCTCTGGGGGCTACTGCCGGTCCCAAGCCCGGATAAAGGAGGAGGGTTGGGCATGGGGTTAGCGTCCCCATCCCGTAGAAAACTAACCCGCTAAAAAAACGCTAACCAGAAAAAAAAAGAAAAAATTATTCAAACCTTTTATATATTACTACCATTGAAGTAACTACTTCTATGAATTTGGTGTTCATTTTGTTATGCTAATGAGGTGTTGCAACTTGGACCAATGCATACATGTGCCTGATCGTACGTTTTAGCGGACTGACTGACTGAAGGTTTAGTGAAGATGACTTAGTTATCAAGCATGGATAGAACTATTATAGCACATCTACTACAATTAAGTCTGTTTACCGCTAATTTTGTCAAACCCTTCAATTAAAAGAGTGTTATTTGGACAGTAACAATTTGTCTCTATTTGTATTATTATTATTATTATTATTATTATTATTATTATTATTATTGTCTGTATGAACATGAATGCTTGATTACATGTGACAGCTAACGCAGATATCCCTCTCTCTAGCTTAAATGTTAGTTGCTTAAACATCACTTGAATTATTCGCTTTCCCATGTATATATGCTTGAATCCTGTTAATTGATTCGACTCTGAGTTCAGGTCTGTGTTCACTTGCTCGCGCGTATCGGTTTTTCTGCCCAAATTCGCTTGGTGTTCTTGTAGCTTTGTGATCTGCGCTATCCAATAATGGACTGTAGTTTGCGCTTCATGTTGCCTTTTGAACCCATACACCGTTGGGATTTATTTAATAACAGTTATCAAGGTGATTGATATACGAAACCTAAGGAATTATCTCGAAGCCAAGTCATTACATGTTTAGTTTGAGTGTATCGAGTAATCTGTAAGCGTGATAAAACTTGAAAAAACTATTGTTCAGTATTGATTCAAACACTCATGATTCATCTTTTATCAGGTATAAATATCATGAGCTGACTATGACGCTTTATGGGATAGTATATTTTGCGCTAACTGGCGATACCAACCAGACTAATGGGTCAGGATACCATTCGAACCCGAACAGAAGTCTATAATAATTCAAACTAAAGATAAGCATACGAATAAGAATATCCTCTTTGATAGTCAAACTACATACTCAAAAGTATAGGGGATTAAACTATTATATATGTTACTATCACGACTAGGCTGACTAGTGTAGGGGAGGGTTGGAAGAAAGTTAGGGACGGCCAAACCAAAACGTGGCATCAGTGCTTGAAGTAACTAACTTCTGGTCTGAGCCATGTTGCTACCAATAGACTACTCGGTTGGGGTCCGCGTGACTATCGTAACCATTGTTTGGAGACTGTAGGTGACATGGCTCAGGATCGATCACAGTGACGTAGGTGTATACATTCTCTCTCTTCCCTTAAACTATGAGATAAAAATCACTTCATATCTTTCTTCCTACCAACTAATTCATTCTTTCGGTAATTTGTCCTCGTATGCAATCTAAATAAAGACCTATTCACTACTTGTCTGGTTCTTCTATCAATAGCACGAGGGTCACCTAGGGACACGAAAGATCTAATAAGCCCGTCACAACACGGCTTCAATAGAACAAAACCCTGCAGTACATGTCTAATAAACTTCTTTAACGAGGTTGCTCGCATATATGACCAAAAGAAACTAGTGGTTATACAATATTTCGATATTACGAAAGCCCTTGATAAAGTACCTCATAACCTCCTAATCAACAGACTTCAGTCAGCTGGAATGACGAGCCTCCAGTTGCAATGGATCAAGACTTTTCTCACAAACATACCAAATAACTAAGATTAACTCTACAACATTTACACCTCGACCAATAACCAGTGATGTTGTGCGGGGTAGTGTCCTGCGCCCATTTCTCTTTACAATCTACATCAACAATATATGAAAGTGCCTTAGCACAGGTAAGACCTAGATCTATGCCGATGACTTAAAAGTCATCCATAAAACTGACATTTGCGATGTATGCTGTACTATGCGAACAATCCGAAGTGAACTCAACATGGTAGACAACTTGTACAAACGCTGGAGGGTAGAGCTCAACACAGAGAAATGCAGCTGGCTGTGTATTAGAGACTTACCCACTTACTTACACCTGTTACTCCTCGTGAAGGAGCATAAGCCGCTCGCCAGCGTTCTCCATCCAACCCTGCCCCGGGCAATCCTTTCCAAGTGTTATTCAGCCCGTTCATATCTGTTCCTATTATCCGACGCAATGTGTTCTTTGGCCTTCCTATTTTCCACTTCCCTTCAGGATTCCAAGTTAGGGCTTGTCTTGTGATGCAGTTTGACGTATTGCGTAATGTATGTCCTATCCATTTCCATCGTCTTTTCCTAATTTCTTCTTCAGCTGGAAATTGGTTTGTTCTCTCCCACAGAAGGCTGTTGCTGATGGTATCCGGCCAATGGATGTTGAGTATCTTGCGTAGACAGCTATTTATAAATACTTGCACCTTCTTGATGATGGTTGTTGTAGTTCTCCAAGTTTCAGCTCCATACAGTAGAATTGCCTTGACATTCGTATTGAATGCATCTGTCAGCTGTCCTCCATACACGATTTTGCATTGTAGTCCGTCGTATGAGTTCCGGATAATATTGACGATCTTCTCAGGAACTCCGTAGTGTCGAAGAAGTTTCCATAACATCCTCCTATCTACACTGTCAAATGTCTTTTCATAATCAATGAAGTTGATGTACAGTGACGAGTCCCACTCAATTGACTGTTCGACGATGATCCGTAGTGTTGCAATTTGGTCTGTGCACGACCGATCCTTACGGAATCCAGCTTGTTGATCTCAAAGTCGGGCGTCTACTTCATCTTTCATCCGGTTCAACAACACTCTGTTAAAGACTTTCCCTGGTACTGACAGTAGTGTAGTGCCTCTGTAGTTTTCACATTTGCTCAGATCTCCTTTCTTTGGAATCTTGATGAGGTGTCCTTCTTTCCAGTCCATCGCCACTTGTTCCTCCTCCCAAATCTTTTTCAATAGAAGGTGAAGCATGTTTGTAGTTACTTTGATGTCTGACTTCAGTGCTTCAGCTGGTATATTGTCGGGTCCTTCTGCTTTCTCGCTCTTGATTTGTCTGATGGCCATTCTCATTTCTTCCGTCGTTGGTGGATTGACATCTATAGGAAGATCTGTGTGCGCTGCTTCGATGTCCGGTGGATTCATTGGAGCCGGCCTATTCAGGAGTTCCTCGAAGTATTCTACTAATATGTTTCGCTGTTGTTGAATTCCGGTGATTGGCCTGCCTTCTTTGTCCTTGACTGGTCTCTCTGGTTTACTGTATAACCCTGCTAGTTTCTTCGTTGTATCGTAAAGTTGTTTCATATTTCCTTCCCTTGCAGCTTTTTCCACCGTCGTTGCTAGTTCTTCCACGTATTTCTTCTTGTCGGCTCTAATGCTCTTCTTCACTTGCTTGTTTCCTTTTGTGTACTCAGCTTGTGCTTGGACTTTCTTTGCTCGTGTTCGGCTGTTGTTAATTGCTGTCTTATTGTTCTTTTCCTTGATCCTGTCCAGGGTTGCTTTAGAGATCCATTCCTTATGATGATGCTTCCTCAGGCCCAGAACCTCTTAACACGTTGAAGTTAATGCTTCTTTGATGCCTTTCCAGTTGTTCTCCATACTAGTTTCTTCTTCTTTCAGTAGATCCTGTAAGGTTTGAAACCTGTTGTTGAGAGCTATCTTGAATTCATTGAGTCTGTCAGTATCTCGAAGGAAGGCTGTATTGAACCTTTGTAGTGTTGCTTGTCCAGTTGTCCGGTTTTTCTTTAGCTTCAGTTTTAAATTGGCCACAACTAGGTGGTGATCCGAAGCTATATCAGCTCCTCTCCTGGTTCTCAAATCTTCCATTGTCCTTCGGAACTTTTTATTGATGCAGATATGATCTATCTGGTTCTCTGTGGTGCGCTCCGGTGAGATCCATGTAGCTCTGTGTATACGTTTGTGGGGAAATATTGTGCATCCAATGACCAGTTTGTTGGATGCACAAAAATTTGCAAATCTTTCTCCATTTCCATTTCTCTCTCTCAATCCATATCGTTCCATGATATCTTAATATCCGGTTACTGTCTATTCCGACTTTGGCGTTTAGATCTCCCATCAGAATGGCGAGGTTGTTCCTTGGGCACTTCTCTATGATTGAAGACACGTCTCATAAAATAAAACTAGCACTTAACAAGAACACACTGTCCAGACTGGCATCAGCAACTGATCTAGGGGTACATTACTCACACAGTCATATCTCAACCAAAGCATCTAAAATGCGGAGATTGC